TGTGTGCGCCTACATGGACACGTGCATATTCCTGTAGTGTGTATGTATGCGCCTACATGGACACGTGTGTATGTATGCGCCTACATGGACACATGCATATTCCTGTAGTGTGTATGTATGCGCCTACATGGACACGTGCATATTCAGAGGCCAGAGAACAATTTGTGGAAGTTGGTTCTCTCCTACCGTGTGGAATCCAAGTATCAAGCTCAGTAAGGCTTGTATACAGGGCTTTTTCTTTCTTTCTTTCTTTCTTTTTAAGATTTACTTATTTATTGTATATACAGTATTCTGCCTACTTGCATGCCTGCAGGCCAGAAGAGAGCACCAGATCTCATTACAGATGGTTGTGAGCCACCATCATGTGGTTGCTGGGAATTGAACTCAGGACCTTTAGATGAGCAGGTGGTACTCTTAACCACTGAGCCATCTCCCCAGCCCTACAAGGGCTTTTGTTTGTTTGTTTGTTTATTATGTATACAGTGTTCTGCCTGCATCCAGAAGAGGGCACCAGATCCCATTATTGTAGTTGCTGGAAATTAAACTCAGGACCTCTGAAAGAACAGTCAGTGCCCTTAACCTCTGAGCCATCTCTCCAGCCATACCTTTAGATAAAGGCCATGAGCCCCTTCGGTAATTTTTGTATAAGCAGAATAAAACTTCCCCAGCAAAAAACGTTACATTCAGTGTGCCTTCTTAGGACAAATGTTAGCGCAGGAAATAAAGATTTAGCATTTGTGTAATTTGAGGAAACAATAAAAGCAATAAAAAACGCAAAGTTAACACATCTGGCTGTACGTAGAGAAAAGCCAAGACTAGCACCACAGAGAACACCCACACTCTGGGGTAGGTGGAAACGCGGCCATTAAGAAACCTGGAAAGTGCTGCCAGCTGGGTAAGAGGAGAGCAGGCTTGTGTCCAAGATGGAAGTAGGAAGGGCTCAGAAGGCAGCCCTGTGTCAGGGGACTGAGTGCGCCAGTCTCTGCCAAGACGCCAGGGTTTCACTGCTGATTAGGGGAAGGTGAATGTAAAACACTGGAGGGCTCATTTTGTGGGCTCCTTAGTTACTTTGGAAAGAGCAACAAAATGAAAGCAGTGTAAGCGCCAGCAGTTAACTGCCGTGGTAAGGAGGAATCATGGTGTGTACTGGGGGGGGGGGGCGGATTTATGGTAAAGTGGTAGAGCACTTGCCTAGCGTGCACGGGGACCAAAGTTCAGTCCCAAGTGCTGAGTGAAGTGGGACTGGGAAAGGAGGGCAGAGCAACGAAGAGGAAGAGGATGGGTAGGCTCAAGCAGGCTTTTCAGTGAGGGCTAATGACCCATGACGCCAGGAAGTGATTATAAATTACAAAAGTTTCACAAATAAAAGAAAACCCAAAGGGCTGGAAAGAGAGATGGCTCAGCAGTAAGAAAACTTGCTGTTCTTGCAAAGAACCTGAGATCAGTTCCCAGCACCTACATGGTGACCCACAAACATCTGGAATTCCAGTTCCAGGGGCTCCAATGCCAATCCAATCCAATCTTCTGACCTTCTTGGGCACCAGGCATGCACATGGTATATCATACATGCAGGTAAATAATCATACACATAAAATAAATCTTTTAAAAAAATCAAACAAGGAGCCGAAATGCTGGCTCAACATTGAGAACACTGAGTGCTCTTCCAGAGGACCTGAGTTCAATTCCAACACCCACTTGACAGCTCAAAACTGTGGCTCTAGTTCTGGGGACCCGACACCCGCATGCAGATATACATGCAGGTAAAACACCAATGCACATAAAATAAAAATAAGTAAATTTAAAATAAATAAAATGAGCCAGGCATGGTGGCTCATGCCTCCTTTAACCCCAGCACTCTGGAGGCAGAGGGAGAGGCTGGACTGGTCTGTGTAGCAAGTTTTAGGCCAATCAGGGCTACATAGTGAGACCCTGTCTCAATATATAAATATATACCTAGGCAGTGGTGGCGCACATCTTTAATCCCAACACTCAGGAGGCAGAGGCAGGTGGATCTCTGTGAGTTCGAGGCCAGCCTGGTCTACAAGAGCTAGTTCCAGGACAGTTAGGACTGTTACACAGAGAAACTCTGTCTTGAATAACCAAAAAAATAAAAAATTTTATGTATATATATATATATATATATTCTCCATCAAAGTCACAAATGAAGCTAAGAGTGGTATTTCACATCTCTAATTCCTGGCGCACCAGGATAACTTTGATTTCTAGGCCAACCTGAGCTACACAAATCAGGCTTTGCCTTAGAAGGAGGTCATATTTTCTGAAATAAAGGGAGGCGATGTATTTACCTGTAATGGGAAAAGCTGTCTGACTAGTGAGAAGCGCGCTGAGCAGCTGAGGAGCAATGACTATGATGACAGAATTATCCGATGCACTGGAAAGGCCAAGAATGAGAGAGGAAATGGTTTTGGTAGAAACTGGGACAAATTAGAACAAAAGAAAAACAGGCGAAGGCTACAGCGCCATCCATTCATGGGCTTCACTCAGTAACACTCGGGTGGCTTCCCTGGGCCTAGCATGCCTTTGGCGGTTACAGCTGTTTGAGTCAGGTTATGTGTGGCCTGCAGTCTGAGCCCCTATCCTGACCTCAACAATTCTAGGACACCATGCCCTCTTCAAAATCCTAGTGGCCGTTTTGGCTTTCACTCTGGAGCCAGCAGGTTACATGCATGCATTTACCCCCAAGCATCAACAGCTCCCATCAAAGCAGAGCTGCCCCAGAGCAGAAGAACCTGCTGGTCTAGCCAGCTGGAAGAGACAAAGAGAAAAAGGTACTACTAACTCCTGTGTGAACAGAAAAAAAAACCAGCAACAAACCCACCTCAACTCTGAACCTCTAAGTGTGCCAAGGGTGCTCCCGAGGGAAGCAGCAGCCACAGTGCCCTCACAGGCTTGGTATTATCCCACCCAGACTCTACCTTTGGAGCTTGTACTCACAAAAACTTCTATCTTCTTTTCAGAAGCCCAGTGGGTAAGATTTATGGTATTCAAGGCTGAAAGTTTTCAATTTACCACAGTCAGCAAAGCGTTTAGGTAAAAAATGTCTTTAATCAGAAAGGACTTATTTTTCCTCACCACAAATACATTAAAAGTAAAAAAAAAAAAACACACATAAACATAACATTTACACAAACGGGAAATCAGAGGACAGTTGTAAAGCCTGAGCCAGGGGCTAAGGACAAGGGGCACCGCCGGCAGGATGGCTGGTCA